CTATAGACCTTATATTTATTTTTACTAACATCACTCATTTTAGTTTCAGTTTTTTTAATCTTTACCTTACTTTTTTCTTTATTATTACTAATATGCTCTAAATGTAATCTTAATTCTAATTTAATTGCAAACAAATGCATTATTTTTATTTTTACAAACTTGACTACTAAACTACTCTCTTATATTAATTCTGATAAAATTCTTAATTTATATACCAACTTTCTTATTATTGCATACTCTATAACTATATGACATCTTTTATATATTTTACTTACTTTTTTATTAACAATTAACTTACAACAACTACCTTGTATTTTTTAACTAGGTCAATTTAATAATAGTCTACAGTTTATTATAAACTTCAATCACAATCTATCTACTATTTTATTCTATATTAATTGTTTTGTTATTAATATTGGTACCTCCTAATGCTCTATAGGCATAAGTTGAATTCAAGTAAATAATTTTGTAACTATTCTTTTATTTTAGACACAAGTCAAACATTGGTCATGCTTCTTTAAAACTAAAATTCTTGTTATTTTTTTAGCAATTATTACTGCTTCTAGAAACTGTTTTGTTTATATTTTTACTAACTTATAATTAGTAATCACTAAATATTATAATATTTGTCTATTAGCATTTAAACTCTCTTATACCCATATTTTATACTTCTTTATTTAGCAAACTTTCATTAAATTTATTAACTCATACAATATTTAGCTTATTTTTTACAAAATTATTCTAAGATATTCTATTCAATAATCTTACTAATCAACTTGTTTATAATCACTAAATACTACTCTTTTAGTATTTGTAACTAATAACTTTTATACTCTTACTTATACTCTATTTATTAACTAATTTCTTATTAAAATTTTTATTCAATGCTTTATTTATATTATCTATTATGCTTATATTATAACACTTTGAATATCTCAACATTACTTTTAACAATTGTTTACTATAACAACTAATATTAACTAAAAAACAACTTAGCTTTATATTAATAATAACCAAAAATTTTTAATTTTGATTACAACTTTTAGTTTTCTACTTTGTTTATTTTTAACTTTAAAATTCTTTTGTATAAACTATCTGTTTTTCATATTCTTTATAAACATAACTACTTATACTCTTTTTCTTATTATTAATACAATTAAACTAGTTTTTTACTATATAGATTACTTGTTCTTCTATCCAAACTATCTATAAACTTGTCTCTAATTTTTTTTAATTGCATCTTAAATGCAACTACTTTTGACATATTTACTAAGCTTGTTTCTGATTTTATAAAAAAATTCTTACACTTAATAGTTTCAAACTGTATAACTTTTTAAATATACTATTTCTTACTTTTACTTTATCTGATTTAGTTTTTATTGACCTTATTCCTACTATTCATAATATCTCTATTCCTTATTGTACTGTTATTTCTTTTTTATTAAACTTTTTCTTTATTGAAACCAGCAAATATATAGATTTTATACTATATTTCACATTTTACATAGTCTTAAATTATATATTCTACTAATGTAACTCATAGTTCTTTTACTAGTTTACCTTTATATTCTATTTCAATACTACAAATTATCACTAAAATTGATCTTTGAACTATTTATTAAATTAAATATTATATTCTTTTCTTTTATATTATTACTAATACTCAATCTAAATAAGTTTTGACTACTTTTGTAAGTTTAGATCACAAATTATATATCTGAGTTTTTATTTTTTATATGTAATTTAAAAGCAAGCTTTGTAAAAACTTCAATTAAATTTTAATAAAGTTAGAGACATAGTCTTATTTTTAATATTTTTTAAAAAAATAATTTTAATAATTTTAATATTTTATATTTTTAAAACTTATATACTTAATATATTTTATATTTAATTATTAATTTAAAAATTAAAATATAATATTTTTTTTACTTTTATTAAGGCTATTAGTTATCAGTGACTATTGCCTTTATTGTAAATTCAATTATAATTATATAACTTATATAAGGTTACCTCTATACTACACTAGCAAATAGCATACAAGTTCCTATATATCTAATTAGATGCAGTCTAACCTAACCTTGATCTCTCTGTTTGTATATCTGTTAAGCTATTATATATTTCATTATATGTTATCTAACTGTAGAGCTCTAAAGGGCCCTCTTGCTAACTAACTAACTATATTTAATCTTTGCTAACAAGGCTTACCCTTGTAAAATTCATTCAGATCTCAGTACTAACTTCATAGCATATCCCTAGTATTTAGCAATATTCTGCTTTAGACTTCAGACTCACAATTTAGATAGCCTGGAAAGATTGTGTCCTGTCTCTGGTATCCTAAGGGTTTGTTTTTTCAAGATCCTTTTCCTTCAGTTCAAGACTTTCATAGCCTGATTAGTAATACCCCTTACCTGAGGTTCTTGTCTGCCTAATACCTTCTACATCAGCATTTATTTCCTAGGTTTAGCCTTTACAGTGATATTATCAAAGATCTATGCTATTTCTCTACTTAGGTCTTTACAATTAGACTTTGGTTTTCTCAGTTTACAGATTTATATAGTAATGAAGACTTATCTTGTATTTGCACTACCTGATATCAGTTTGCATTCCTTTGTGTAACTTTAATATTGTGCAGATACCTTATGACCTGCCAGTTATGCTAGTATGACTATATTACAGATATCTGATTCCAACTAATCAACAAAGTGCCATTGCTGTAATACTGCTTACCTTCTGTAATACTAATATAATATAGATAGTTTTTTCAAATTTTTGCTGTCAGTGGGTTTTGAACTCTCAACCTACTACTTGAAAGTTTGACAACTTATCAATTTTACTAAGTTGCTACACTTCTAATATAATATTTTTAAATAGATTAAATATTAAATAATTTTTTTATTTTAATTACAAATCTTAAAATTTAAATAAATTTTAACTATTTTAGTTGATTTAAATTGCAAATAATTTATTTAAACCTTTAATCTTAATATTTAATAAATATAAAATTTAAAATATAAATTTATTATATATTTTACTTATAAAAGATTTAATTAAGTTTTAATAAAAATAAAAGCATAATCTTACTTTAATATTTTAAAAAAAATATAGTTAAAATATAAATTAAAGAATATTAACTATGGTTTAAGATAATCATTATCTTAATATTATATCTCAAAAACAAAACTAAAAACAGAAGCCAAATATACTAAATTAAAATATTTAATACCTTTCAAAATCTTGTTTAATTTAAATTTAAAATATTATATTAACTCTTATATTAGTCTTAAATTGCATTCTAATTCTAAAAATAATAAGAAAATAATTATTTTAAATTATTATTATTATATATATTTTTAAATTAAATATTAAATAAATATAGCAAATTTTTATATTTATAATTTTTAATTAGAAATATACTTAATATACTTTATAATAAAATATATACAAATAAAAATAAGATTTAAAATAAAAATAAAATTAAAACTAAAATTAAAAATAAAAATTAATTATTTGTATAAGTAAATATATATAATTATAATAGATTTAAATTAATTATTTTAAAGAATTAAATTTTAGATTAAAGCTAGAATATAAATTAGCTTAATTAAAAAAATTTATATATTATAGTTTTTTTTAGTATTAAGATAAAACCTTGCTTATATTTTTGTTAATAATTTTAATTGTACATTTGTTTTAATACAAAAATGCTAAAATAAACTAAAACTGTATATAACAAGATAAAAATTAGATGCAAGCATAAAAGCTCAGACTAGTTTATTAGCAATCTAAACTAACTATATATTATAATTTTATAATAATTTATTTATACTTATTTATACTAAAAAGATCTAAAATAAGAAAAAATTATAAGAAAAAATATTTATTATACTATTAACAAAAGTTAGTATAATAAAATATTATGATATTGAAAAGATTTACCAAAATGCAAAATAATCCAAAAAATATTCTTAAAATTTAAATTCAGATATTTAACTAGTAGTTTAATTATAAAATTTAGATTAAATATCAGGCGAACATAATAGATTTTCTTATATTTAAAATTTAAATACAAATATTTTACTAATATTTTAGTTTGTTTAAAATTGTTAGACCAAAATTATAGCTAAATATAAACCAAATATTAACATATACCTTATTTTTAATATTTGTCAAATCAAAATCTAAAAGTTTAACTAGTAATAGTTCTAAAAAGAAAATGCAAGATAAATTAGTAATAAAAATTGTTGCGGCTAAAGCAAGATCGCTGATTTAAAATTGATCTTATTTTGAATAAAATTCTAAAAATTTTTAGAGTGCATTGTTATAGCTTATTAGAATTTGGTTAGGATTAATGATTAGAAGTATTAACAGTAAATTTAGTAGACTCAGATTAAAACCTAAAACTCAGTATCAGCCAATCTTAATATTAGCTGCAACAAAAATTTACAATTTTACGACTAATAAATCTCATGATTAAATAAATTTTACAATATAAAGAATTTAAAAAAATTTATAATTTAAAACTTAAAATTAAAGTACGAACACCTATTTACTAGTATTTTAATAAGTGCAAAAAACTTGTAGTTTTTACCAAAATATTTTATTGATCCTATCAAAATATTGATTGGTGATTGATTCTATCAAAGTATTATTTTTTAATTCTATCAAAAATGTTATTTATTGATTCTATCAAAATATTGTTTCTATTTATTTGATGATAAAGTATTGATAAAATAGCAAAATTTTAAAATATAAAAATTTAGAATGGATACTAAACATATTTTATGCTGTAATTAAGATTTTTTAGAAAGCATGGTGTTAGTATAAATTTCAATGAAAGGGATTGAATATAGTAATAAATTCATTTTAGACAAAACTAAACCCTTATTAATCAACAGCAAAATGCTTTGTACTCAATTAGAATACAAAAGTTCATGCTAACAAAATAAATGTTAATAGTTGTTATAACTAGAATTAATTGATTAATTGTTTATAAATCATTATTACTTACCAACTTTATGAACCTGCTGAAGATCCATAAAAAACCGTAATGTCGAATCATTTTGCAACAACTTTTCTTCCATTAATTTTATATTCTGCTGTTGAAGCATATTTTGAAGATTTAAAGCTTTTATATCAGACTCCAGACGTTTATTTTCTGATATCAAAGTTTCATAATTCAAGGACAATTTTACTGTAGATGATTTTTGTAACTTATTAGATGATAAACATGTCTTCTCGGTGTTGGATAAGCTTGAATCTTTAATTGATAAGTCTTGATTGCCAATGGCCATTAAATTTTGGGTTGATTTTTTCATATTCTCCATATTTGCGTTAAAGGATTTAATATTTTCAAGTTCCTGCTTCAGCTTTTGATTTTCAGCGATCACAGATTTAGTCGATCTTTCTAATTCTTCAATTACTCTACTATCATTTTGACGAATAATTTCATATTTCCGCTTTGATTCTTCTAACTCTAAACTATGTTGAATGCCCTTTTCATTATGACATTCTTGCAATTGTTGAATTGTTTGTTGATAAAACAAGCATTGCAAACGAATGTTATCATATTCATTGGTTTTCTGTTGGAGTTTTTGCTTGATTTGTTCATTCTCTATGGATAAATTAATAGCTTTTTCTTGCTGTAATTGCCAGTTTCTTTTGATTTGAGAAATTGTCTTTTGGAATCGATCACGTTCTTCGCACATAATTGCAATAGCATCAGTTTTATTTTGAAGCGCTTTCATCAAAAGCATGGGATCCTAATAAAATAATGTTAATAAAAAGGTCACTAAAATTAACATCATTATTAATATTTACTTTGAATGATAGGTTTGAATTCAAATCAGATGATCCAGAAGTGCATCCAGTATCATTGCTTGCCAATGATAAAACTGTTTGTAAAGATTCGTCTTGAGATATTTGCGTTTGGTAATGAAAAGGTTGATTTGGGAGTATTTTTTTATCATTTAAATTATTGCCACCTTGTTCCGTTGATACCGAAAATTGAGTTGGTATATATTGAGGACTTAACGGAATCTGCGAAATACAAGATTCTAATTCAAAAGAGTCAGTTTGTTGAGCAAAAGATCCTTGATAAGAGCAGTTATTATTCTTATCAAATGTGAAGCAACATTCTTTACTAATAAATGACTCATGAGTTCGATTTTTCTTATTGGTATGATGAACTATTTCCTTCTCACCGACAGAGTTCTCAGATTGGCACTCAATTTGAGATCTTTTTAACAGATGTTGCGAATCAAAGCTTATAATATTAGAGTTATCATGCATTTTTTGATCAACAATTGAAGATTCACTAGAATTGTTATTGCCTTTAATTGATATTTCATCCCATAAAGCCAAAACATCAGAACAACGATGATCGGAACCATCGGTTACAGTGGAATCAGATATAACAGAGTTCTCACGGTGACATCGATAATCTTGGTTTGTTTCAAGCCTTCTCATTTTCCAGTCATTGATTAGACTTTGAGTACAATTTTCACCAGGTTCCTTTTATATATGAAATCCGCCAATATATTGATTAATATATACATGCATAATTTTTTAAAAGCATAGTATGTAATTTAATGATAATAATACCCAAGTTGGGGTCCAAGGATTTCCATTCTTATCATTTCCTTCCCATTGAATTAAGTAATAAGAGTTACCATCGATGACTCTTTCATCCAATATACATAACACAGACCAAAACTTTCCTTGTGTCATTTTTTTTATAAAATCAGTCCTATCAAAATTGAGATGAAAAAAATCAATTATCATTACAAATATAGTTAATAAACTTTGTATTGTAGTTATTAAAACCTCGTCTCTCTTCTTATTTTACCAGTTGTAGGTATATATATATATATATTTATTTATTTATTAAAAAAATAAGTTTGGCTGACTGTGTGTTGAAAGTTTCTCTAAAGTTAAAAGAATACGTAACAGTTTAATATAAACTTAACGATAATTTGGAATAACAGTAATGTGATAAGAGTATATTAAGGGTTAAATCATGATTTGCACATAATAAGCTAATAGGTTTTTAATGATTTAAATGATTACGTCAATATTTAATCATTTAAGAAAAAAATGGTCTACGAACTTTTGCAGTTTTTAAGAGTAAGTGTAATTCTGTAAATGATTACAAAGATGTATTAATTTGCACATATATCTTGAAAGTTTGTGCACATCAAAAAAAAAAAAAAGATGTGCATACATGCACATTTGATTTTTACTGTAAAAAAGAAAATCAATTATACGCAAATGACTCAATGACTCAAAACTAATATACTAATGTCTGGCATGCTATCTAAATAGAAAGTCGATATAACCTTTTTAAAATATATATCGTATATTTATTCCGTTTTGTTAAAATATATACATATATTCTAGGATTACCCGTATACATAGTGTTATTATTATTATATAATCTTAAACAATATAATAAACGATATCTATTAGGCACGAAATGCTGAATAGCTTTAGCACTTGCAGAATAAATCTTAAACGCTAGTAAACGTGATTGTGCCGCAGTCGTAAGGTGTATGTAAGTACGTACATACGTACGTACCTATTCTCATTCAACACTTACATTAATCGGACTTTGTATTACCGACCGTTGTTAGGCGTTTGGCATAGTGATGAATAAAGAAAAGCTTAAAATAACATACATATTCTGAAAAACTTTGACTCCAATTAATATATTATTAATTACTCGAATTATTTTTATTAAAAAAATCATTAATTAAATTATTTTATCAAATTTTTAGAGAATTTTTACATAATCTGCTATTATCAACATTTTTCATAGATCGATATCCTTGGTTATTAGTCTGCATGTGTAGTAATTAATTATGGCATGGCCGTAAAAGCTGTGCGCCGTTCAGCAGGTCACATGAATATATATCCAATCAAATTTCGAGATCAGGTGTAACGTAAATAAAGCCTTTTTTTAAAAGATCGCCTGTAACCAGAAATTTTAACAATAAAACCGGCTTCTGCGCACTAATTAAAAGATGTTCCTTGTGAAATTTTACTATATAAATCTTTCAAACACTAACTCTAATCCTAATATATCGTATTTAAACAAATCCATTTGTTCTACTGAAATTTGATTGGATGTTCTATGTAACCTGCTGGCCCAATAATCTATTCGCGTTGGAATAATTATGTAATGCTCGAATAACAGTACTCAATTGCTGTTATGTTGTGGTGCAGATGAACCAAACATATCCAACGGCCATTACGTACTTACGTACTCATAAGCTTAAATCATTTATAAATATGTAATTATAACATAACTGAAAATATATTAATAGTTTTAATTAGTAAAATTTCTATCGATATCGCTTATCATAAATTTTATTTTCTAAAAATATCAAGTTTAGAACAAGTTAACGTGAAAGAGTTTTGCAATCTCCAATTTGAAAATTTATAGTCTATATATTTATGTCACTGAGCCCTCACAACATAATGCTTTGTGCTACATTCATTTAATAATGTGTATGTATGTACGTTGGCAAAGCCACGTAAGTAATGATATTGTCTACCGGTGCCGATGAAATGGTTGAGGCTGTTCTTAAGCAGTGATCGAGAAGTTCAATCATTTCGATTAGCTGAAATATATTGAAAAGTGATCCTTATTAGAGCCTAGACCTGGATACCTACTTATCCGTATAGCTATTTCCTTTTTATAAAAGCTATATCGATATCCCAATAACTGTTGCTTTTAAAATGCAGATTATTTATAGGCTCTGCAGATAACTAGACAACTTTACGGATAGCAGATAACCATACAAACATCTGGATAAACCGGATAACCTACAGATACTACGAGATTAAGTACTAGAAATTGGACATTTCTGATATAATCTTTTATTCCAGTATTCTCATTTTTACAATTTATAATCTAAATATTTAAAATATGTTACGTATCTTTAAATAGTTAATATTCCTGATATCATAACGTCAAAGCCATGAATATCAACATCTAATGTAGAATATCATTTTTATTGTACTGTTAAACTTCATAATTCTCTATAAATGGTCATTCTAGTATGGTCTCAAGTACTATATATGTATAGAAATATGGTAAACCCGATTTTTACAAATACGCATCTTTTCTAAATAAATATTTTTAAGAGAAATGCAATTATAAAGGTTTGATTGTGCTTTTAAATAAATTTATATTTAAAAATTAAGATTAGAGTTAATACTTCAATCCGGATATATATATCCGGAATAATATTTATCATAAAATCATGGTAATTTAAGTCTTATTTATTTTATACTAGATATATATTATAATAACACATCCAGTATTATAACTTTTATATATAATAAATTAATTTAATATATATAAACTAGTATAAAAAATAAATACTATTTATATAATTATATTTATTTTTTTAAAAAAATTTTTTGTTAATTTATAATTTTATATTAGTCAAAATTAAAAAATTACTGCATTTAAATTACATTTAGAAGATAGGCTTTTGCTTACTAAAAGAAAAAAAATTAAAAAATATTATTAGCTTTTTTGTATTGCTATTTCTCAATAACTCAGATCAAACAAATAAATAAAAGGTAAATAATAGTTAAATAATAGAATAAAAATTATCTATTATTCTACCTTATATTCATCAAATAATAATAACATAACAGTAGTATAATAGCAAAATAATAGTAAAATAACAGAAGATTTATCAATATTAATAATATAATAGTAAAATATTAACAAAATATTAAACCATTTTTATTATTTTATTTTTAGTTACAAAGACTAAAAGTAAAATAATAAAATTGTTATATGATTTTGCTAATATATTATTATTATATTATCAATATTAACAAATTTCTTATTAGTTTACTATTATTCAGCTATTATGTTAAAGTTATGTTATTATAATTTAGTAGATATAGGGTAGAATAATAGAAGATTTTTATTTTATTATTTAAATATTATTATTTTTATTTATTTTTTTAATCCAAATAAGTCTTATAAAAATTCTTATTTATAAGGTAATTATAAATTTTTATATAATACAAATATAATAATATTTAAATAAATATTAAATTTAGTCAGTACTAAAGGTAAGTATATTTTATTACAATATTTTTAAAACTGCCTATTTTTTTAAAATATATTACTTATATATTTATTTTTTATTTACTAAATATGCTAAATTTACTAAATATATTTTATAATTATACTATATTTTTTTTTCCTTCACTTGAGCAGTCTTGCTGGTCACCTTTATTATGTATTTTTGTATTATATACCTATAAATTAGTTCATAAATTTTGGCCCAACATCCTGCAGGTG